CACGAGCGCGCACGCTTACTGGCAACGCTCACACGGCCATTAAAGACTCATATCAGTCAGGTTATGAATGTAAGTCACGTGCCGCCCACGAGTGTTCAAGCTTTCTAACCAAGGGGGTAATCCATCGACCGGAAGTTGAAGCCGGCCGGGTGCCGCCATGTTGTAGCAGAACTTCACTTGCGTTAGCATTTCCATTGACTCCCATTCATTTTGGCGTCACTTTGGCAGCGAATAACTTTACATCTGAGGCGTTTAAAGACTCCATTTGTCCATTTATTTCTAAAGAAACACGACAATGTATAAAGTGCTCCATTACCTTCTATGTTACATTATGGTCCCGTAGAAACAGATTTAGTAAAAATAGGCTAACGATTGCATCATAACCACTCGACTCTCTGTCGCGCTGTACAGAAATTACCGTACAGACAGGAGGAGAAGCTCGCAGGCAATCGGGGGGACGTCCCGTCAAGGGAGAAGCCCATAGATAATGAGTCCATAAAAGCAACGTAATACTTACTCCTGCTCACTCACGCCAAAGAACTCTTTGCTCAAGTTCCCCGTCTCTGCAAGATTAACGTTGGCAATTTTCACGCACAGCTACTAGAAGATTAACGTCTGTCAGACAGGTTGCTCACGTCATCAAGCTTAAGCCTGTTTTATGCTTCTGCGTCGAATCGACGGCGTACCCCCGCAGACCTCTCTGCGTCGCCGCGAACCCCTCTCCGACCCCTCCGCCGTAGCTCGACGTGCACCTCCAAAAAATTGTAACTACGCGTCGAGGCGACGCAGACCACAAGGGCTGTGATTGGTCAGATACATCATTTCGGGAGTGAAGCTTTACAGGTTTCCCCTTCCCGCTATACCGCCATTTTTAAAGTGACCACTGCACTGTTTGTTTTAACGATATCAAGTTGAGGAACGTTTGATTCTTCTGCGATTAAACATTTGCAATAAAATCATTTGTTGTTCAACGTCGATTAGCTCCAGCTGCAACAACAATCTCTCTCTTTCGCTCGCCATCAGGCGCGTTTCCATTACAGATTTGCGCAAAACTTTTGCGATTTTTTTCTATTTGTCGATAAAAAACTATTGCGAAATGACGGCGTTTCCATTAACCGATGTTATGCGACTAAAACGTCTTTTTTTCCTCTCGCGATAAGCCATTACAAAAATCATGGTAACGGACGTTGGTAGGTTTAACGTTATAGCCTATAGCCACCGCACTATACATTATTATTATTAATGGAAGGAGACGTGGTGTGTAATCCGAGCATTGATGGCAGGGAAAGACACGGAGTTCTCCCTCATTTCTGCTCCGAGGTCTTGATTGTGGCATTTCTTTGAGGTTTAGAGTCCATAGGCTATTCCTGTAATTATTGTTTATTTTATGAATTTAATAAAGAACTCTGTCTCGTATTAATTCCAAACGGTCAGTGTACTTTTGTGTCCATTCGTTTTCCCTTATTTAACCCGTAATTGCAAAACGAAAAATGAACGGTTGTTGTATTTTTAAAACGCAAAGTTGAACACAAAAATTTTAATTTGAACGGTACACCAAATGCTGCGCAAAAAAATATATATATATCGACGAATTTTAAGATATTTGTTTATGATTTTTTGCCCCTTTGTTAAACATTTTAAATATTCACAAATTAATATGGAAAAAATGTAGATTTTACTGGTTTTCTAAGGCCAAATTAGAACCTGGAAATTATATTTTTCCCGCAGTGCTGAATGAGAAGACCATAACCACAGCCTACAGAAAGGTGATTTATAGGTGAGTTATAGGCTATAATAAATGTGTCTGAAAAAATAACGAGGCATTTTAATTGTTTATTAATAAACTATTGTTTTCTAAATCAATGTCGGCTAAAAACATATCTCCATCTCCGGATGCACCTTTAGAGAGAAATGCACCTTTCATACCGATAACATAATCAGAAGGTATTAGCTTTCGATTCGAATTTGTTCGTTTTAAAGTGGACATTTCAAGCTTTAGCCTACATAGGCTATATTTTGTTTCAGTTCTCGCGCTTCAGTTCACGGAGACCATGAAAGCGCGCCTGATTGTTTTATTTTATTTTACAAAACCACAACGTTTTCTTGTTATTGTGAGTTTACGCAAATAAAAGTAGTTGCGAATAATGTATTATTATTTTCTGTATGACCAGAAATGATAGAGTATTTTAAGTTGTTTCCACTGTTGATAGGAAAATGCAAGTGTTCGCGCCAGCGCGCCTATCCCTGCCATCCAGTGCACAAACCGCACAAACACTTGGACATGCGTCAAAATCTTGTGTTTATTTGTGATAATCTTAGCCCCGTATTATTATTGCCCAACCTGTATTTTGAATGAGATGTGACGAATTGCTTTGTTTTCTACATATGTAGCCTAATAAATGTTATAGCCTAATGATGATAATTATTATTATTTGCGGACACGGACCCCAAACACACCGCGTCTTCTAAGTCAGGTGACTGTAAATGCGCAAAACCTGTTTCCATTGCAGTTTTGCAAAATATTCCTTTTTCGAATTGCATGAAAAACCTCCTCATGCGAGCGTAAAATCTTTTTTGCGATAAACTGGAGTTTTTGCGAAATGGACGTGGTTCCATTGTGCGTATTTTCAATTCGCAATTTCAATTTGCGCAATATGAAGGGTAATGGAAACGAAAGCGGAACCGGCGCACGGAACCAAAACAAACTAGCAAAGATATTCGCGAAGCACACCCCCCACCCCCTAGCGTTCTGGCGGTGAAATGCACCGCGATACAACGCAACCTGACGCAGAACCATAAAACGGCCACGACGCCGTAGGAGTGACGGCGTAGCTACGCCGTGGAGTTGACGCAGAAGCATAATGAGGCCTTTAGTTTGAGTCGGTTTGAGTCTGCGCGTCAGGAACGGAAGTGCTCAAAAATCGCTAAAAATGGGCTTCAACTGTCTCAACTGAGTTCCAATGAGATGGCTCTGTCCACTTCTTATACTGTCTATGTTTCTAACACATACCTCTCCCCGAGTGCCGCCCGCACATCTAATTAGCCTTTCACACAGGACGCGGAAAGCGTTGCGCTAAACCTATTCATTTCAATGGCGTACGCCGCGCGAAGACGTTTCGTTGCTGCGTCGACCAAAGCGCAAGCGCAGCATTACGTTACGTTACGTATGTACGTGATTGACTATAACCCCGGATTTCCACCAACTGCAGAACGGCTGCGGATCGGCTCCGCTGCGTGTCGGATCCGTGCTCCGCCGTCCTTCAATACCTACCAGATACGGATTTGTTGCAGAACGGCTGCGGACTGACAGCTGAAGTCACGAGGACATACGATATCTCGCGAATTTACGTTTGATCGCGCGATATAACAGGATTTAGTTTCTATAAACAGAACCACAAAACCAGCAACAGTTTGTTTCTATCCAGAGGAGTACAGGGGAAATAACTCTGTGCTGACCTGCTGATCTCCTTTTTTTTGTGGAGATTATTATGATTCTAGTACAATATTTATAATATAATCAACTTATAAAATGCTAAATGTTTATTTTGGGTTCCTTTTTGAATGAATTGGGAAAGTAGTAGGCTTGTTGAAATAAAGTTAACTATTGTTCTTGTTGGAAAAGGAAAAAGTATATTTTTATTTTGGAAATTACCGGATGTTTTATTTAGTTTCTGTGTTCTGTTCTGTTATCTTTGTTTATCGACTTCCTGCGGCGCTCTCCGGCATCCGGCAAAAATAGAAACTTTGCGTATCTGCTCCGGAGGGCTGCAGTCGCCGGAGCTGGGACGGAGTCGGAACGCAGCCGTTCCGCAGTCAGTGAAAATACACACATTGACTTGAATGGAAACCTATTGACTCCGCCGCCGTTCCGGAGCGGATCCGCAGCCTGGGTAACCCCGGATTTCCACCAACTGCAGAACGGCTGCGGATTGGCTCCGCTGCGTGTCGGATCCGTGCTCCGCCGTCCTTCAATACCTACCAGATACGGATTTGTTGCGGAACGGCTGCGGCCATGACTGACAGCTGAAGTCACGAGGACACACGATATCTCGCGAATTTACGTTTGATCGCGCGATATAACAGGATTTAGTTTCTATAAACAGAACCACAAAACCAGCAACAGTTTGTTTCCATCCAGAGGAGTACAGGGGAAACAACTACCCAGCAAACATGCTTCTTTGGGGCCCGAATGGGGCCCTTGCGGGCAGCCCACTGTGGGCCCATATACCGGCGTGAAATGCGGGGCACGTGTGGGACCCACACTTTGGGACCCAGGTGGGGCCCCAGTGGGACAGCCCAAAAGTGTGGGCTGACTGTGGGCAGGCCCACAGTAAGTAGAGTGGGCCCCATTGGGGCCAGTTGTGGGCCCACAGCAAACCCTTATAGGGGCCCATGTGGGGCCATTGCGGGCAGCCCACTGTGGGCCCAGATACCGGCGTGAAATGCGGGGCACGTATGGGCCCCACACTTTGGGACCCAGGTGGGGCCCCAGTGGGACAGCCCAAAAGTGTGGGCTGACTGTGGGCAGGCCCACAGTAAGTAGAGTGGGCCCCCATTGGGGCCAGTTGTGGGCCCACAGCAAACCCTTATAGGGGCCCATGTGGGGCCATTGCGGGCAGCCCACTGTGGGCCCAGATACCGGCGTGAAATGCGGGGCACGTGTGGGCCCCACACTTTGGGACCCAGGTGGGGCCCCAGTGGGACAGCCCAAAGTGTGGGCTGACTTTGGGCTGGCCCACACAAATTAGAGCAGGCCCTCATGTGGGCTGGATGTGGGCACACTGTGGGTGCAGGTGCAAAGTTTGAGCACACAGAGTGTGTACACCCATATTACTATATGCAGTACAATTGCACTTGTTAGCAGCAATAAATCGAGGGTCATGTTTTTTTCCCCAAATAATTTATTTATATTAAATAATAATTATAATTAATAATAATACAGTTTAAAACAGCAATAACCACAAAAACAGAAACACAGAACACTTAAAACACGTCAAAGTAAATTAAAAAGCAATCCCCTCAGGGGCACCAGTAGGTATTTCTGCAGTTCTGGCCCTTCCTTGCCTTCCCCCATCTCCGTCCCTGGCATCACGGAGCCATGTCTTTATAGAGGCTTCCACCTCACATGCAGTGGCTTGACTGATTTTTGTCACAGCATCTAAGTGAGAAAGGATCAATTGAAATACAAATGTTAAAAACAAAATAAGGGTTGTACTGTTGTTCTAGGTGCTATTTTTAAATGCTCAACTGAGAGAATGACTGACTACTAGGTCAATAGCCGCGTTTCCACTGCCGGGCTAGGGCCGGGCCAGGGCTAACAGCGAGCCGAGCCGAGCCAGTGGCCTCGGGCCTCAAGCACCGGGCTTGCGTTTCCACTGCCGGGCCAGTAGCCCCGCAGCGCTGCCCTAAACCCCGCCCCCGCTACCCAACCCATTTCAGCGGGTATTATGAATTTATTTATTTTTTAAGTTAGGAAGATAGCATGTATATTAAAGGGATACTCTACTGGTTTTTCATATTAAACTATGTTATTCCCTTAACTAAGACGAGTTGATACATACCTCTCTCGTCTCAGTGCGTGCACTAAATCGCTGTCTTGCGGCGAAACTTTGTTAGATCTTATCTCAGCCCTGTTCATTCAATACGTGCCAAGAAGAGAAGCGCCCAAACACCTCCACGTTTTCCCTATTTAAACACAGTTACTAGAGTAGTGTAACTCGACCAAGAACGGTGACACAAAATAAAACGTTGCGCTTTTCTAAGCGTGTACAATGGATAACTATATTGTACGGCAGAATACCATAGCAAGTGCTTGGGAGCACTTCGACTCGGCGCAGTAATATCATCACTCGTGAAAAGTCCGCTCCCGTTGAAATGAGAGGGAGGAGGAGAGGGAGGAGGAGAGGACTTTTCACGGAATAACAGTTTAATATGAAAAACCAGTAGAGTATCCCTTTAACTCACCGGCCGTGGCTGCAGCCTGCAATAGTGTCCAGATTGTCTCGCGAGTCGCCACTAACAGAGGGACGGTGACCCAGCACACCGTCCATCAAGTCGAACCATGGAATTTGGAAAGTTCCTTCTCTGAGCTCCGCTTTGTCCATTGTGCGTTTGAATCGCCTTGTACAATACTGCGCCCGCAACTTTTTTTTTCCTAAACTTGAAGCGTTGCTCGCTGAATGCTTAGCTTAGAAAGTTCAGCATCGATGTATTTTATAACGTCTTCGTTTCTTCACACGCCGTCAAATTGACGTTGTACCCTTTCTTCTGCCCAAATGCTCAGAAGAGCTTTGGTATCTTCGACAGACCAGTACAGGCGATTCACCTTTTCGAGCAGCGATTATTTTGCGCGATATAAAAAAGTGAAATGTACATCTTGCTTCAGATCATAACGTTCCATAACACCGATAAACTCCGCCTTTTACCTTGAGCACGCCTCTAGCCCGAGCTGGCCCGCTTTGGCCCAAGGTATTCGACGGGCCAGAAATCCTGGCCGTTGGACCCGAGTAAGCCCCGATCAAGCCCCGGAAGTGACAGTGGAAACGCGACTGGCTCTAGCACGCACTAGCACGGCTCGGCCCTGGCCCGGCAGTGGAAAGGCGGCTAATGAGAGAGCTGCGGCTTATAATAACGTTCAGTTGTAAGTCATTTATAATTGGTTAGTTAATGATGAACTAAGGGTTTACAAAACATTCATAAATGATTAGCAAGTGATATACTAACATTTTATGAATGTTTTGTAAATTGTTACAAGTCATTTACAAGTGATTAGTAAATGATTAAGTCCATTTTTTATGAAACATGATTATGCGTTTCATAAATGTTTAATAAGTGATATGTTAATTGTTGTATGTATCATGTTTTGTAGATTCAGTTATAAGTAATTTACAATTGCTTAGTTAATGATTAACTAATCATTTACAAAACATGAACATGCGTTTCATTAATGTTTAATAAAGGTTTTTATTTTCTCCCTACTCTTACAAAATTACAAACAACCAGCCTGAAAAACATGTTGTATGAAGACTGTTTATAACACCCCTCCTAATCCTCACAGAATTTGCAAGACAATGTCTATAATAAATAGTGTGTGTAATTTCTTCAGTACCGTCAGCAGAACTGATAACGTCTGGGCTTATGCGGTCTTCCTTAATTTGGCCCCAGGGCCCGTTTAATGTTTAATACGGGGTTTTGGTACCTATCCCTACGTATGGGTGAGTTAATATGGATGAAGGCCTGTTGTGTTCTGTCTCTTGGTTTGTGATATTGGGAAACTCACCTTCGTCATGTACTGAGTGTGGATGGCATCAAGATCTGGTCCTGAAGAATCACAGGGTCAAATGATTATATCTCATCTGGTAACAAGAGCATAGCCATAACTTTAAAAACTCTAATGATATCTTTACCCCCTGATATTGCATTGTGGATATAAATTCAAACATTTTAAAGGCTAAGAGTATGAGCCATGAGTAAACTGGCCAGATATCTGTGAAAAATAACTATGCCTAAAGTTGTCGACTCCCTGAATTCAGCATTTAAAAGTAAAAAGAATTTCAGTATTTATTAATAAAAAAAATATATATATCTTTGAGTTGGACAGTATGGTGTCTGTCTCATTGGCCAACATAGTTAAAAACACACCTAGAGAAAAAAAATATATATATACACCAATGACCATGATTTCCTGTTATCATAATAGTTAAATTAATTATTATAACTATGACCATTATAACATTATATTTGCCGCCTATTTAGCCTTCAGGCTTCTCAGGGACGATATCACTGAAAAAAACTGGGGTTAATGAATGTAAAGTGTGAGACTTCATTAAAAAGCATAAACCTACAGACCCCCAACATTTGAACAGTATGTTTGAGGTTTTGCTTACTAGTCGAGTTCATAGCCGTGGAGGTTGTCTTGGACAGGGGGTGCAGCAGGCCATCAGCATGATGATCTTCTAGAAGATTGATAATAAAAGTGATTTCAGGAGGGACAGAAAAAAAAAACCTCCACAACAAAGGTTCTAGATTAGAACATGTTGGATTATTCGTAATGAACAGACAGGAGACAGCGGGCTCTTAACATGGAAGCTTTACTGAAACTCACATTCTCTGCGCATGACGCGCATGCGCACATTACACATCCAAAACCATATTACTGCACTATTACTTTCTCATTCAGTCCATTCCTTCCCCTTCCTTTTTTTTTTTTTTTTAGTAAAACAATATCTCTGTAGGAGAAATACAAAACACAGGTATTATTACTAATTTTCCTTACTTATTACTATGTTTCAACAGAAGAAAGGGAAATAATCTCAGAACGGACAATAACAAGTCAAACTCTAAAGGTTTAATCTTAGTGGTGGTCTGATCACCCTGCCCACTCTGCTTCTAACACAGTCCCTAATCTCTCTTGGCTGTGAAGGAACTGCTCTCAGATGGGAACGGTGTCTTCTCAAACTACCAGACTGCCCTTCTACAATGTAGGAACGTGGAGTATCAGCAGGACTCATGACTATGCCTGGGTTTGGCACATTCTTAATCCAGACTGATTGTCCAGACTGTAGAGCAGGTTTTGTATGTGCTCTGTGGCGTTTTATTGTACCACTTAGTCTGTTTTACCTTCAACTCTTTGTCTTTTCTTTTGAAGGTGTTGAGGTTTGGCCAGGCTGGTTTCAGTGTGGATGGACTCACTGGGAGAGTAGTTCTGATGTTCCGTCCCATCAGGAGTTGAGCAGGTGAAGCTCCTGATGCTAATGGCGTAGCTCTGTAAGACATAAGTGCTTTGTGAGGGTCCTCACCTTTACGCAGTAGTGTTTTAACAGTTCTCACTGCTCTTTCCGCTTCTCCGTTGCTTTGAGGATAGTGCGGGCTGCTGGTTACATGATGGAAGTCATAGTCTTTTGCAAAGTCCGCAAAGTCTGATGCTGCGAACTGAGGGCCATTGTCTGTAACTAGGACCTCTGGGACCCCGTGGCGAGCAAACATCGCTTTGAGCTTCTCCATCACATTTCTTGATGTTGTTGAAGTGAGAGAAGCAACTTCTATGTAGCGTGAAAAATAGTCTATCAGCAGAACATAATCACCCTTGTTCCAATGGAAAAGATCTGCTGCCACTCTCTGCCATGGTCGTGAAGGTAATGAAGTGATCAACAGGGGTTCTGGGTAACTGTAGCTGTTTTTGACACATGTTTCACACTGACTTACTTTGTCTTTGATTTGCTTTGTTATACCTGGCCACCATACTGACATTTGCGCTCTTGCCAAGCATTTAGTGATGCCTTGATGTCCCTGGTGCAACTTCTCTAGGACTTCTTTTTGCATACTGCCAGGTATCACTAGTTGTTTTCCCTTCATCAGCAAACCCTCTGCATTGAGCAGGTCATGTCTGTGTTGCCAAAACAATGCTAGGTGTGGTGGAACACTCTTTTTTCCATCCCAACCTGTACGTACAAGAGAACTTAGCTGTCTGCACACTTCGTCCTCTTCCTGAGCCCTCTGTATCTGAGCAAGCTTGGTAGGTGTTGCTGGCAATTGTTGAATGACATGATCAACACTCACTTTTACCTCTTCCTCTCTTTTTAGGTCTGCTTCTGATGGGTTTTCTTTGAGTGGAGCTCTGGAGAGTGTGTCCGCTGTGATCAGATTTTTTTTCAGGAACGTGCATGATCGAGTAGGAGAACCGCAGGAGTCGCAGACGAAATCTTAATATGCGTGGAGGCAGGTCATCTAGCGATCTCGAGCCAAGTAGACTGACTAGTGGCTTGTGGTCAGTCCTGACCACAAAATCCAGTCCCAGAAGATAGGTTTGAAATCTTTCACAGGCCCACGTGATCGCTAGGGCCTCCTTCTCAATTTGAGCATATCTTTTCTCCGTAGGCGTCATGCTCCTTGAACTGAAAGCAACAGGTCTCCATTCACCTGTAGGCTGCAGCTGAGATAATACTCCTCCTAATCCAAAGAAAGACGCATCAGCTGAAACTCTGGTATGTCGATCTGGACAGTACTGTGCTAATACTGCCGAAGAACTGAGTTCTTGCTTCAATTTTTCAAAAGCTTGTTGTTGTGGACTCCCCCACACCCAGACGTTTTCAGCTTTGAGCAGGTCTCTGATAGGTCCAGTCAACTCTGCAATATTGGGTGAAAATTTTCCAACGTAATTCACCATGCCAAGGAATCTCTTGACATCAGCCGTATTTTTAGGCTCTGGCATTTCTTTGATAGCTTTTATTTTGTCTGGATCAGCTCGTATGCCTTCTGCACTGACAATGTGTCCTAGGAACCTAACTTGAGGCACTGCAAATTGACATTTTTCGTTCAGTGTCAACCCTTTCTGTTCCAGGCGGTTCAGAACCTTGATAAGTCTTGCATCATGTTCCTTACGTGTAGCACCGAACACCAGGATGTCATCTGCGTGGCACAGTGTGCCCTCCAGGCCCTCCAGCAGTTGTGTCAACCGTTTCTGAAAGTGTTCAGGTGCTGAGGAAATGCCAAATGGAAGGCGGTTAAAACAGTATCTTCCATAAGGCGTAATGAAGGTAGTGAGCGGGACCGAATCTTTATGCAAAGGAATCTGCCAGAATCCAGCAGTAGCATCCAACTTAGAGAACACTGTTGCGCCTGACAGTTTAGCCAGTGTTTCATCGACTGCAGGAAGAATATGTCTCTCTCTGCAGACATTGCTATTTAGATGTGTTAAATCAACGCAGATTCGAATCTTGCCATTTGGTTTCGGCACTATCACCATACCTGAACACCACTCAGTCGCTTCTTCAATGGGCGTTATAACTCCTATTTCTTCCATTCTTTCTAGCTCCTCTTTCACTCTATTCATCATGGGCAAGGGCACTCGACGAGGGGCAGCCAGAGCAAATGGAGTGGTTAACTCTTTGAGTTTGATTTTGTATTCTCCTTCCAATTTTCCAAGTCCTGTGAAGACTTTTGGAAACATCTCTTTGTAGTTCGGATCTGCTGTTTGCATTGCATCCACTGTGTGAAGTAAGTCCAGCTCTTTTATGGCTGGTAGTCCAAGGAGAGGGGACACCAGTCTTGGTATCACAAACACTGGGTGTTTTATCACTCTTCCCAGATGACAAAGTGATGCTTTAAACTGCCCTCTCACCTGTATTGACATGTTGCTTGGTCCACACAGCTTTTTGTTCGGCGGGCTGAGAACACCGTGGCTCGTCTTTGAGTACATGCTCTCTGGGATGGCTGTTACTGCTGCTCCTGTGTCCAGTTTGAAAAGAATTTTCTCGCCATTCACTGCAATGAACTTTTGCCAGACATCAGTCGAATTCTCAGACTTTACGACTCCCAGGAAAACAGCCTCTATGCTCTCCGTCTCATCACAATGATGTATTTCCTCCAGTCTTTTTTTTGTTTTGCAGACTGCAGCGAAGTGTCCTTTTTTGTTGCACTTCCTGCACTCAACCTCCCTCGCTGGACAGCTGTTCAGTGAGTGTGCTTGTGGCTTTCCACATCTGCCACATCCCTTGCTGGCTTCATTGTGTTTTGTACTGTCTTGTCGTCTTTGCATTCCTTTCTGTGCAAATCTTGGTTTCATTTTGTATTTTAACATGTCCATGTTTACCTCATTTGAGTCACCGCTTGCTTGTCTTAAGATTGTCTGCTGCTTTTTTATTTCTTCACTTTGTCTTATCTTTGTGATGGCTTTATTGAGTGTGAGCTCGGGGTCAAGCTGTAATCTCTCTGACAATCCGTGATCTCGTATGCCAACTACCAGTCTGTCTCGTATCATTTCCTCTTGAAGGACTCCATACTGGCAATTTTCTGCTAGTTTATAAACTGCAGTGATGAACATTTCAGCTGATTCGCCCTGTTCTTGGCACCTCTTGTTGAATTTAGCCCTCTCGTAGATCACGTTGTGTTTACATACGAAGTGTTTCTCGAACGCATCTTTAACTTCGTCATATTTTTTTCTGTCTTCTTCAGAAAGAGCCAGCGTGCACATGATATCATCGGCTTTATCTCCCATTGTGTAGATAAGCGAATTAACTTGATATTCTTGGCTTCTTTCACTAATTCCCGATGCTATACGGAATCTCTCATATCGTCTAATCCAATTTGGCCAGCTGCCAAAATCATTGAAGTCAAAATGTTCAGGCGGGCTTATTGAGAACAAAGTATCCATCTTATATGTTTACCTTGATGCTGTTTATATTGAATTTTCTTCGGGGTTTTATTTCTTCTTCTTTCTCTCTCCTCGCGTTTATCGTCTCGGAGCTCACTCACACTCTGTGTCCGTCTCGCAGCTGCCGCCGTGCCGATCGCGTGATCTCGTTTGTTTCCTCGAAACTTCACTTACAAACTCTTGTTTTCGCCGCGCTGGTGCGGATGACTGTTATCTCTTAGAAAGCGAGGTAAATCCGCTTCTGACACCATGTTGGATTATTCGTAATGAACAGACAGGAGACAGCGGGCTCTTAACATGGAAGCTTTACTGAAACTCACATTCTCTGCGCATGACGCGCATGCGCACATTACACATCCAAAACATCCTACCAGTACAGAACATAACATGCAATGTGTCACAGAGCCAAAATTGTTACATATGATTTACAATAGAACAAAGGGTTTATTACAAGGAAGCAAGCTAGAGATGAAATGCAGAAAAGATAAAGAATATATATATATATATATATATATAATCTTAAGGTAATATATATTGTGCAATAAATGCATATGAAATTATTATCATGTTTAAACAATAATTCTCCCTTTGTTGTAGAGGTTTTTCAGGGTTTTACCAGCAAAACAAAACTATCAAAAACTGTTATCAACACAAAGATGTGGTTAAAACCCCAAACTTATGTAAAACAAGAGCTCAAGTGTAACGTTAACTTAACTTAGCTAGCTGCTACCTATTCTGAAAACGGTTGAGATGCTAACGGACTTTTTAGAAGACACAAAACCATTTCTATAAAGTAAATATTCAACAGAAGCGTATCAATTATACGTAAGAAAGGTGTCAGGAACGTTTGTATGTATTATTTGTGTGATTATGTTAACTAAACTTACCTGAAAGTAGCGAAAACAACAGCGAGAGACGCTAGTTTTGCTGTTTGTCAGTTGATGAGGTTTCCTCGTTTCCATGGTTTCCATCTGCTCGCGTGCGCTCCTGTCTTTGAATCAGACAGCTTTGAATGCGACTCAATGTTTACGCGCACGCGCATTGAAACCATAGAACAATTCAAAAGGCACACAGCATTTAAACATCTAGAATTACAACATTTAACATTTTAAAATATCATTAATTTTAAATCATGAATTTAAAAATCATTGTGCAGTTCTATGACCAATGTTTTTTTTTGTTTTTTGTTTTTACATTAAAAGAGAATATGAAAGCACTAAACACTGCTTTATATAAATGAAAGATGGTAATGAAATTACGGGCCCGTGACGTTGCAGTTTCGTTTGTGTCTGATTGGTCTCAGTCGTTACATCAGTGATATATTTATTAGTATCAACAATATATAATTGTATTATAATAAATATACATCACTGATGAATACCAAAACAAATCAGTAAACCATTTGCATTGTTTTTATTGTGACAAATAAGTTAATTTTATTTAATAAATACGGTAACACTTTATATGCAGTCCATGCTTATAATGAATTATAGCACCATTTATACTTATTTATGAGCAATATTACTATTCTATAAATATATTTATAAAGACTCATTAAGACCTACAATATATACCCTAGTTACATCTATATTATTTTTTATAATTCCTTATAAGTCACAAATTTGTTATTTTAAATGCACATGCTCATAATCCATTATGTGTAGTTTTAGTTAATTATGGACTGTTGAATGAAATAACATTTATGACATTTCACGGGATCGTTAAATAGTTTGATCAAGCATCTAATCTTAAACCTTCTAATCTTAAAACATATGACTGTTAAACAACTTAAAACAATGTACCGTTATGGTGAGTTGCCCACTGTAAACCCTCATGGGGGGCCCATTCTGCCCTACAAAGGCAAAAGACCTTAACTCACCAGAGTGTGAAACTGAGAAAAATGACTTTAAAGTTTTTTTGTTTTCCAGCCAATTGTATGATAGGTAGGACAATGAAAATTTGCCAAGTAGTTGTCATAATGAATATACACTCACCGGCCACTTTATTAGGTACCCCATGCTAGTAACGGGTTGGACCCCCTTTTGCCTTCAGAACTGCCTCAATTCTTCGTGGCATAGATTCAACAAGGTGCTGGAAGCATTCCTCAGGGAGTTTGGTCCATATTGACATGATGGCATCACACAGTTGCCGCAGATTTGTCGGCTGCACATCCATGATGCGAATCTCCCGTTCCACCACATCCCAAAGATGCTCTATTGGGTTGAGATCTGGTGACTGTGGAGGCCATTTTAGTACAGTGAACTCATTGTCATGTTCAAGAAACCAATTTGAAATGATTAGAGCTTTGTGACATGGTGGAAGTAGCCATCAGAGGATGGGTACATGGTGGCCATAAAGGGATGGACATGGTCAGAAACAATGCTCAGGTAGGCCGTGGCATTTAAACGATGCCCAATTGGCACTAAGGGGCCTAAAGTGTGCCAGGAAAACATCCCCCACACCATTACACCACCACCACCAGCCTGCACAGTGGTAACAAGGCATGATGGTTCCATGTTCTCATTCTGTTTACGCCAAATTCTGACTCTAACATCTGAATGTCTCAACAGAAATCGAGACTCATCGGACCAGGCAACATTTTTCCAGTCTTCAACTGTTCAATTTTGGTGAGCTCTTGCAAATTGTAGCCTCTTTTTCCTATTTGTAGTGGAGATGAGTGGTACCCGGTGGAGTCTTCTGCTGTTGTAGCCCATCCGCCTCAAGGTTGTGCGTGTTGTGGCTTCACAAATGCTTTGGTGCATACCTCGGTTGTAACGAGTGGTTATTTCAGTCGCTGTTGCCCTTCTATCAGCTCGAACCAGTCTGGCCATTCTCCTCTGACCTCTGGCATCAACAAGGCATTTCCGCCCACAGAACTGCCGCTCACTGGATGTTTTTTCTTTTTCGGACCATTCTCTGTAAACCCTAGAGATGGTTGTGCGTGAAAATCCCAGTAGATTAGCAGTTTCTGAAATACTCAGACCAGCCCTTCTGGCACCAACAATCATGCCACGTTCAAAGTCACTCAAATCACCTTTCTTCCCCATACTGATGCTCGGTTTGAACTGCAGGAGATTGTCTTGACCATGTCTACATGCCTAAATGCACTGAGTTGCCGCCATGTGATTGGCTGCTTAGAAATTAAGTGTTAACGAGCAGTTGGACAGGTGTACCTAATAAAGTGGTCGGTGAGTGTATTTATCTACATTAAAAATTTTTTAGCTCAAACTTGACCTTTGACCCTTATTCGGAAGTTACTGTATTCTGCCTTTGCATTATCTGCAAAACAATAATGGGTCATACAAAGGCAAAATACCTTAACTTCTAATTTATTGACCATTTGGCTTTTATCACTCTATACAAACATTTCTATGATAACAACGATAGCCTTAAAATAACATTTAGTAAGTTCTGTCTAGTAAGGGTTAATATTACATCAATAGTTACAAAATATTACAAAATAAAAAAATTATGAGAAAGACCTTAACTCGCTAGAGTGTGGAACTGAGAAAAATGACTTTAAAGATTTTCAGTTGTCCCTCCAAATTAATTATAGGTAGGACACTGTAAATCTGGCAATTAGATGTTTTAGTAATGAAAAGTATCTACATAAAAAATCTTGAGCTCAAACTTGACTTTTGACCACTATTTTAAAGTTACTGTACACTCTGCCTTTGCATTGTCAGCAAAAAGTGAGAAGTTATGCCAAGGCAAAAGGCAGTAACTTCCACATTATCAATATTTGGTTGCTGATCACCATTAACAAAATCATTATAGTAACACCTGTATAAAATCTAGTGATCATGGCATTTATTTTGTATGATTTACACTTATAGACATCTACTTATTGCTACCCTGTGCTTTGGTTGCATTCTGGTGGCATTATTAATACATGAGACATGGCAAAATACCTCCATAGCGGTAAGATCTTCAATTGGTACCGAGTGGCATAAGACTTGATAAATGCGCGTTCAAAATGATCACGATAAAACAGGTCCTCGCGCACATTCGACCAGGGGACTCGTTTATAGTAGCTATATTCGTGTTCGAAGGTGTCATGCTCCTCGTACGTTCACGAAAAGTACGAAGTACGAACGCAGTGCTTTCCATCTTGAGACTCGGTGGGGAGCGTGCTCTGGACTACCTAGACGACTAATGCATTTATAGCACAACCTTCTGTGTTCTGCGTCTTTTCAGTAGCGGTGGTTTCAGCTGTCTGTCCTATTATTGTGCAGTGCACTTCGCTCGTCCCGCGGATTTATTCCGGACAGTGTGATTGTAGGTACAACCCGCTTGTAACAGCTTGTCTGATGTTGTATGCACCAGCAATTCTTGCTGCATTATGTTGTATGCACCAATATACCGTTGTTGCTTCATTATTATTACTCCCTGTGACATATTAGTCCCGCGTCGGCCCGACTGTGTTCAGGGCGGAGCTGAAGGCGCCGGTGAAGTTTTGGCACTCTGCCAGCTATATGCATGAATGTTTCAGTCAGGTCCGGTACCCGATCTGGGTGAGGCGGGGCTTTAGTTCTTTGTTGTATTCACCTGCTACGGCGTGTGTAACATTTTTTCTGTCAACTCTGCATATATCATTCGCGATGGATAGCCTATCGCACGTTTGTCGATGGAGCGGGTTCAGACCATACTAAATGTTCTGACCGCATTTGTGCTGGACAAAGCTCTGAGGACATCAGAAGTTACAGGGACTGATGCCAGCTGTACAAAGTACACAGGCTACATCGTAATTTCAATTTTAATGGAGAGCAAAACAAAGGCAGAACACCGTACAATCTGAAAGGTAGCATTATTTGATAGAACGCCAGGACCGTAACTTCATATTGACGCGCGGCTAAACAAAGGCAGAGTGCCGTAACTCAAAATGAGCGTTCCAAAACAAAGCCAAAGAGCGGTAACTGGTGTTACGGTGTTCTGCCTTGGTTTCTCACGGGCTTTTGGAAGTTACTGTTAAGACAGACAACCCATTATTTTCTCGAAAAAACGACGGAATTGACTCAAGATACTTATCCACATGCTAAAGGGGGTCTTGAATGTGCCAAAAATATAAAAAACTAATTTTCGACCAAACACGAAGTTACGGTCTTTTGCCTTTGCACGGCAGCATAGTGAAAAACAGCTATGGGCCACGCATGGGCTAACTGCCTGGGGACCCGTGTGGGTTTTCTGTGGGCAAACCCACAGTGGGTTACCCACAGTAAACCCTCATGGGGGCCCCATAGTGAAAAACAGCTGTGGGCCCCGCATGGGCTAACCCACTGGGGGCCCATGTGGGTTTTCTGTGGGCAAACCCACAGTGGGTAGCCCACAGTAAACCCTCATGGGGGCCCAAATGGGCAAAACTGCTATGGGCCCCGCATGGGCTAACCCACTGGGGGCCCATGTGGGTTTTCTGTGGGCAAACCCACAGTGGGTTGCCCACAGTAAACCCTCATGGGGGCCCAAATGGGCAAAACTGCTATGGGCCCCGCATGGGCTAACCCACTAGGGGCCCGTGTGGGTTTTCTGTGGGCAAATCCACAGTGGGTTGCCCACAGTAAACCCTCATGGGGGCCCAAATGGGCAAAACTGCTATGGGCCTCGCATGGGCTAACCCACTAGGGGCCCTTGAGGGGTATATGTGGGCAAGCCCACTGTGGGCTTGCCCTCAGAAAGCCCAAATGGGGCCCCAAAGGGTTTGCCCTTGCCCACACTGTCCCACAGAAAACCCACACTTGCCCACAGTGGGCCCGCACTGGCATGTTTGCTGGGTATGTGCTGACCTGCTGATCTCCCTTTTTTGTGGAGATTATTGTGATTCTAATACTATATTTATAATTAAATATAATCAACTTATAAAATGCTAAATGTTTATTTGGGTTCCTTTTTGAATGTATTGGGAAAGTAGTAGGCTGTGTAAATAAAGTTAACTATTGTTCTTGTTGGAAAAGGGAAAACTATATTTTTATTTTGGAAATTACCGGATGTTTTATTTAGTTTCTGTGTTCTGTTCTGTTA